GAGTTAGGGTTTGCATCCTTCCTCTGGAGTAAGAAGGTGGAAAAAAACCAAATGTCCCCAGAACCACCCGGGGAGGCCGGCCTCAGCCCACTGCAGCCTCCAGGAGGCAGGGCTGCCCCTCCCCCCGCCCCCCCACTCTCTGAATGAGGCCTTCTGCCCCAGATGTGGGGGTGGCTTCTTTCATCTGGGCCTTCCCTAGTGCCCTCGAGGAGGTGGGTTGGGGAGGGGGGGGGTCATTTTTTGGGTCAGAACCCCCAGCCCCAGCCTCCCCCCCTCCTCCACCCCCCACCCCCACCCCTGTCCCCCAGGTGCTGCCTGGGACCTGGCTAGCCTGCCGGGTAGCCTTCTCTTGACCAGTCTCTGTCTTGGGGGCTTGAGCTGTGCTGGGAGGAGGCCTATTTTGGAGGAGAGAGGACGGTGACTATCTCTCAGACCCCACCCCGAGGGGCAGGGGACCGCCCCCACCAAACCAGCCTGCAGTCCTAGCCCCTCCACCATTAGCAGGTCCACCGAGGGCTCAGGTGTCCGGGAGGGGCGGGCAGCTCCCAGGCCCAGGATTGGAGGAAGCGGCCCACAGAGGAAGCAGCATGGTCAGGAGCCGGCCAGGCCACATCCCCCCAGCATGGCCTGGCCCGGGCACTGGGCTGAGTCCCTCCTCCACAGCCTGGCTCAGGCCTGAGCCAGGGGCCTGCAGGCCGGGCGCAGCTGCTCTCCTCTCTGCAGGCCGTCGGGGGCTCGGAGGAGACTTGGGGATGTGGCTGTAAGTTTTAAACGGCAACCGGATCCGCCGGGGGAGGAACCCTTTGAAGTCAGATGAACAGTGGGGTCCCCTCCGTCCTCAGGGGCTTTCATTCCCTGGTTGCTGGTCAGGTCAGGAGGCTGCCCCGCCCCCACAGCCCGGGAAGGTGCCTGTTAAACACGGAGCAGTAATTTGAGGCTAAATGCAAGGCGCTGCTCACAGGGGAAGGACCATTCAGGTGCCGGCTGTGTGAGGTTATCAAACCAGAGGCCCATTGGGGTTCGGTGGACGAGATTTTCATAAACGGGCAGGAGTGTGATGGTTATTATTGTGACAGGGATATGGGGGTGGGGAGATGCCTGGAACCCCTGGGGGTGAGGGAAGTCTCCAGGCCCTTGTCCCATCTTGGCTGGAGGAAGGCCAGGGACCCCCAGGGACATCTGGGAAGGAATGGGGGTTCGGCCTGCCCAGTCAGGGTGGAGGAGGAGGCAAGGAGGCCTGCTCTCTGGGGAGCTATGCCCACCCTCTCCGGGGGGGGGGGGGGGGGGGGTCCCCTGGCATTGGGCGACCCACACTGGGCCTCGTCGTCCTGCCCCTGAGGAAGGACCCCAGGGCCTGCCTGTAGGACCGGGGCAGGTGGCTTAATGGCTGGAATGGCCCCGCTTGGCGACAAAAGCTCCAGTGGGGCCTCACAAGGGGCTGGTCGCCCGGTGCTTCCAGGCACCGCCCGCCCTGAGCCTGGCTCCCGTTCCCCCA